TTTTGGTAGCAATTTTTCTACTTTCTTTTCTTCCTTTCTTCCTTCTTTCACTGTCCTTTTTTGCTTGTTTGTTTTATTTGTTTTGAGACAAAGTCTTATGCTGTAGTGTGTGTTGGTCTGGAGCTAACATGTAGACTGGCCTCGAACTCACAGAAATCCTCTGCCTCAGGCTCTCAAGTGGCTCCTCATTTTGTTCTTCTATGTTAAATGCCTTTTACATTGGAGCTGATGTTTTTAAATTTTTGAAGTCCTTTCAGATCACCCTGAGGCCCCAATAACACAAAAACTCAGACCCTGCAGGTTGGAAGTGACTGTGAAGCTCTTTCTGATGAACAAGGTGCTGCCATCTGGAATATAACCTGGAGAGCGAGAGTTAAGGAAGAAAGAGCATGCCTATGTATGGTTAGATCCCACAGTGATGAGCCTAGATGTCCGGAAAACAAGGGTTCCAAAATGGCAAGGGCCAATTTTGGTTCACATTCTGGATACTTTCGATTAAACTTGTTCTAATCTTTTTTTTAAACATTATGATTACAACCCATAATTTCACTTCTATTAGGAAAAACTATTGAACATTAGAGACTTGTGCTGAGTTCCTGCTCTGGTCCTCACCAGTTGTGTGAGAGCAGCCAAGCCTTGTATATCCTTTCCAGGTAGACTGGCTCATCTGAGAGAATGGCAGGCACCCTTACACTTGACAGTATTTTCCTTACTCATTTGATGACACATTGTCAAGCTAACTTTTCCTGGGGAGATGAAACCAACCGTCTATTCACCCCAGGTAGGGTACCGTTACAGATCAAAGCAATGGCCAGTTCAACCTGATGAGTTCACGAGTTTCTCGAGCTTACTTACAGGAACAACGGTGAGGGGTTATCCCAGGTGACCCCAAAGAAGATACATCACCACACAACCCTAGCCCATCATGGATGATAGCCTTACAGAAGATGCATCAGGAAGTCCCCTCTTCAGCTGCCCTCCCACCTCCACTACACTAGAATTTCCCAAGATCACTTGCAGCTGAGGAGGAAGCAGGAGAGACTAGTGCCTGGAATTCCAGTTGAAGACCCTGGGATCCTCCCTTTTCTCTTGGGGCATTACCATCATTAGTATACTGTTTTGTGTACTTAGTTACTGTGGCAATTAGGTCATGGATCCTTCTTGATGACACGCACAGGACTGTATGGTTTATGGCAGCAAATGTCATGATCTGTCTGATGTAACGTGGGCTCTGGTGTTTGGAGCCAATGGGCTCTGATTCTCCCTGTGGTTTCATTGTCCTTCATCAAGTATAAATAAGTGAACTCAACCTCAAAGAATTCTGGGACTTTTCTGTTGTGTGACCATTGAAAACATGTGAACTGAGTAGGATGTATACCCGATGGAGGACCTCAACAGAGGCAAGGAGTAGGTAACTGTTTCTCAATCATGGAAGCTGTGAATATGATCAACTGGGAGGTGAAGAACATCTTAGAAGTGTCAAATACAGATTTGGACACGACATAGCAGGCGATTAACTCAGGAATTGAACATAAGAATCGACTCTGGCTCTTAGTAAGACTGGTAATATCAAGGCAATGCTCCTAGAACAGTGACTCTCAGCCTGTGAATCACAACCCCCAAAGACCAATGGAAACTAGAGATATTTCATTATGGTTCATAACAGTAGCAAAATTACAGTTATGAGGTAGCAACAAAAATAATCTTGTGGTATGGGGGGGCTCCCCACAATATGAGGAACTGTATTAAAGGTCACAGCATTAGGAGGGTTGAGAACCACTGCTCTAGATAGTGAGGATAAAGGGGAAGGGTAATACTGAGAGGTGGACAAGACAAGCCTTGAGTTTTACATTCTGGTTCAGAACCAACATTTGCATTTCCTGTTTAAAAACTTGGAAAGAATATCACTAAAGCACTTTGCCCTGAAGTTGGCCCCTTTCTTCCATAGTACATCTTTCTTAATTCACCCAAGTAATTTTGTTGGTGTGAAACATTATTTTATGTGAAGAAAAAAATTTAGTTACTAGCTGAATCTTTCTACTTTAAAAATTGCTAATGCCAGTTTTAAATGCAAGTATAGGGGTATTTAATTTTCATATGGAATCAGCAAAATAATATATACCATAGTTTGTATATGTGCATGTGTTTAATTCTAGATACAGGGACAGAAACACTCACTGCACACTATTTCCTGTTTTTCTATATCTATTTTTACCCTAATTATCTAATATTGGTTTATTGAAAATAAGAAATTATCTTAAGGCCAGGTATGATAATTCATGCCTGCTCAGGAGGCTGACTTAGGGGCATTTTTGATGAGCTTATAATCAGGCTGGGATACTTAGTGAGTTCCAGACACCTTGAACAAGTAACGAAAAGATTTTAAGAAGGAAAGAAAGATAGAGATATGTATAGTCCTATCTTTCTATTAACTTCTGTGCTGTCATTTTCAGCGTAAGTGATTGACTGGAGCAAGAAGTGACCTATAAGAAATTCCAAAAAGGTATTTCTTATTCCTTCACATTTCTCAAACTGACAACACCTTCTTTGCATACTGGGCAACCTCTAGTGGGAGTAGACACCATGGTTTCCGAGTCCATCTTCCCCATTTCCCCATCTCTGCCTTACCCAGCTGTGAATGTAACATACTTTCCTCGTCCTTATCTCAGTCTGGTTGAGCTCCCATGCATTCTGAGGAGTGCAGACTCTTCCTATGGCAGCACCCTGGGTGCTGTCTGTGAACGGGAAGCAGAGGTAGTGGACAGGCATATTGTACATGACTCCTCTGCTTAGGCAGAATTGGACTGAATGCCCGTGCCCCCTCCCATTTATATATTAGAACATGAATCCAGTGTATCTGCTTTTGGATTTCAGGTATTTGGAAGGCAATTAGATGTGGTGGTTTGAATAGGTATGGACTCGTGTGTTTGAATGCTTGGCCATAGGGAGTGAGCTGCACTATTAGGAGGTGTAGCCTTGTTGGAGTAGGTGTGGCATTATTGGAGGAAGTGTGTTACTGTGGAGGCAGGCTTTGAGGTTTCAAATGCTCAAGCCACACCCAGTGAGACAGGTTACTTTCTGCTGCTTGAGGAACATGCCACCCACCATGATGACAATGGACTAAACCTCTGAAACTGTAAGCAGTCCCAATTAAATGTTTTCCTTTATTAAGAGTTGCTGTGGTCAATAGAAACCCTAAGACATTAGGTCATAAGAGTAGAAGCTTCCCAAACGCTATGACGGTAAATCTTTTTTTGGGGGGAGAGGGAGCAGGTTTCTAGACAGGGTTTCTCTGTATTGTTTTGGAGGCTGTCCTGGAACTCACTCTGTAAACCCAGGCTGGCCATGAACTCACAGAGATCCGCCTGCCTCTGCCTCCCGAGTGCTGGGATTAAAGGCGTGCGCCACCAATGCCCAGCATGATGGTTAACCTTGTGACAGCTTGGGAAAATCAGCTTGGGAAACTCTCCGTTTTCAAAGTGCTGCACTGAAGAAGGGAGACATCTGAGTGTAAGGGACGCCCTTCCTTGGTCTGGGGTTTAGAAATGAGTGGGAAGGAGAAAGCCAGCGGAGCAGCAGCAGTATCTCCCTCTGCTTCCCCACTATGGGTGCCATGTGACCAGCTGACTAAAACAATGGACACAATCTAGGACTCTCAAAGGATGAGTTCAGAGACAAAATTGCTAATAATTACAGGCCAGAACTAGCAGAACATTAAACCAAATGTGAACCACTGGGAAATGTATAGGATCCATGGACTTAGGATATCTTAGTGATTGTTCAAAAAAGTCAAGGCAAGAAAGTGGTATCCAGAAATGTATGATGATCATAATGACTAATAATCAATCTAAAACCTTTTCTGGCAATATCTGAAGTACAAAATATGCACATATTCTTTTAGAAAAGCAAATTAGTAGGCACTAATATCAACAATTAATAAATGAGACCTCATAAAACCAATTGTAAGGCAAAGGACACCATCATTAGGACGAAGTAGCAGCCTACAGACTTGGAAAAATTTTTACCACCTCTATATCTGATAGATGAATATCCAAAATATATAAATAATTCAAGAAACTAGGTATAAAAAGCCAAATAATTCAATTTAAAAAGTGGGGTGCAGATCTAAACAGAATTCTCAATAGAGGAAACTCAGAAGCAATTCTTAAAAAAAACATTGTTCAACATCCTTAACCATGAGGAAATACAAATCAAAAAGACTTTGAAAGTCCATCTTTATACCTTCCAGAATGGCTAAGATCAACAACACAAGAGAGAGCTCTTGTGGACCAAGGGGAGCTCCCATCTATTGCTGGTGAGAGTGCAAACTTGTGTAACCACTAAGGAAATCAATATGACAGTTTTTCAGAAAGTTTGGTATTGACTTTTGGGCATTTACTCAAAGGACACATCATCCTATCACAAGGACATTTGCTCAACCATGTTCATTGCTGCTCTATTGATAATAGTAAGAAACTGGAAACAGCCTAGATGTCCCTCAGCAGAAGAATGGATAAACAATATGTGATACATTTATACCATGGGGTATTACTAAGCTGTTAAAAAATAACATCATGGAATTTGCAGACAAATGGATGGAACTAGAAACAAAATCAACAAGAGTGAGGTAACCTAGATCCAGAAAGATAATGTGGTATACGTATTTACTTATATATGAATATCAGCTATTAAATAACTGATAGGCAACCTACAGTCTATAAACCCAGAGAGATTAGGAATAGAGGAAAGAATACTCCTGGGAGGGAGGAAATAGGATAGATTTTATAAGTGATGTGGGAACAGGCACAGGAAGATTGGGTGAGGAGGTAGAGGAGAGATAGTATTGGGGGAGTAATTAAGAGAGAGACAGCGGGAATTGAGGGTCATTTGAGGGGTGGGGCAGAAATACAGTGAAATGGAAATATATTAACATATAAAATTATATGAAAGTGATTCTAATGAGGTCTCTTAATAATGGGGGAGAAGGAGTCTCAATTCACCATCTCTCGTCACCAGTACCAGGACTGTGTTGCATTCAATTGAGTTGCTGGCCAACAGGGTTCCATGGAACTCCTCAAACAAACCAGGCTGTTACCAAAACAATGGATTGTTCTCCACAAACTGACATCGGGGGTCACATTGCTGATGACAACCCTCATGCCACTCATTGAACACAAATGAGTGTGCCTATGTGTTGCTTTCACTCCATGTGTGTGTGTCTTTGGTGGAGGAAGGTACTCTGAAGGCTACCAAAAGAAAAATGTAATCACCAACCCAGCCACAAAACCTTTGACCTACAGTCTGTCCTGCCTCAAGATGTGCTAGGGCAGTGGTGGCACATCACTTGTGGGAGTGGCCAACCAATGTCTGGTTTAACTTAAAGACCCCCTCCAAGAGATAGAATCCATGCTCGACACTCGACACTTGGATAACCAAGACCCAGAGATTACATAGCCCAGCGGCCTAGAGTAAAACCAAATACTACTGGTCTTGAAAAAAAAGTAACAAATGGATCCTGATGATATTCTGCTATATTTATGAGTTCCTTATCCAGCCATCATCAGAGACGTTTCCTTCTGCAGCAGACTGGAAGAGATGCAGAGACCCACAGCCAGACATCATGCACAGATAGATAGATAAATAGATAGATGGATGGATGGATGGATGGATGGATGGATAGATAGATAGATAGATAGATAGATAGATAGATAGATAGATAGATAGATAGATAGAGATTCCTTGGAACACACAACTCTAAATGGGTTTTATCCATCAAATCTCTCCCCTCAGAGCTCAGGGAACCTCATGGAAGAGGAGCCAAAAAGAGTGTAAGAGCCAGATGGGATGAGGACACCAGGAGAACAAGGCCCTTTGGATCAACCAAACAAGGCATATATGATCTCGCAGAGACTGAAGCAGCAAACATAGGATCAGCACAGGTCTGCGCGAGGTTCTCCGCACATATACGGTAGCTCTCAGCTTAGTATTTTTATGGGACTCCTGAGTGTGTGAATGAGTGGGTCTCTAATTCTTGTGACCGATCTTGGGGAGCTTTTCCTTCTGTTTGGTTGCCTATTCAAGTTTTGATGTGATGGTTTTTGTTTTATCTTACTATACATTATTTTTGTCATAGTTGGTTGTTTTCACTTAGAAGCCTGTTCTTCTCTAATGAAAGACAGAAAGGGAGTGGACCTAGAGGGGAACGGAGGTGGGGAAAAATTGGGAGTAGTACAAGGAGGGAAAACTGTAATCAAGATACATTGTATGGGAAAAGAATCTATTTTCAATAAAATAAAATAAAAAAGTGAATTGATAGTTGGAATAATTAAAATGTAGCTGGTTTCTGATATTTCTTCTAAAACACTCAATATATTATTAATTAGACGATGATGAAGACCTTCTCTAGAGAATCTAGGTTGAACAGGAAAGCTTTGGGTTAAATAACTTAAAAGAATTCATTTTCACTGGGCAGTGGTGGCACATGCCTTTAATCCCAGCACTTGGGAGGCAGAGGCAGGCAGATCTCTGTGAGTTCCAGGCTGGGCTGGACAGACAGCCTCCAAAACAATACAGAGAAACCCTGTCTCATAAAAAAATTCATTTTCCTTTATGAAGACAGTGGGGATGCATATGTATGTTAGAAAGACAATTTTAAGGGTTTATTTATTTATGTTACTCTGCACAGAAACAAAATAAAAGCTAAATAAAAAGCTCACTGCTAAGTGTGGGATGCCTCTCCTCAGAGTGTCCCACAGAGAAATCCCCAAATAATATAAGCTATTTCCATTGTTCTTGGTTCACTACCAGAACCTAATGATAACACCCTATTGCTGAAGATACCACACATGTTGAATACAGAACACGGAGAGATCAAGTCCTTGCTAACCAGGAAGCTGCCTCTCTGCTGTCTAGCCCTCACAGTACTGTGTCATCTGCTGGGGGTTGGAGGGAAGTCATCAACAGTCTTACACTGAGATCTCAATGACGACAAATGTAGTCATATATGATCACAAGTGCAATAGTGGCATGGATCTATGGAGGAAGCCAATTGCTTTCTCATTGAATTTATGTCCTGTTCTACCAGAGGAAACACAGGTCTGACACTGCATATCTGTCAAAGAACCCCTGGATAGCAACCTCATAGACCCTAGGGGTGAATGTACTACTATTACTTTGTTAAATGTCCCCTAAATTCATGTGTCTGCTTTCAGACATTCTCAGGACTCAGCAGAAAAGTTTCTTTGTGCAGTGGGTGGTGGTTGACCACAGATTTACACACAACTGGTCAGCGTGTAGAGAATATAAGAGAGCTCAGCCACAAACAGGGTATCTATATCCCACCCTCTCCCCAAGGCTCAGAGACCATCATGGAAGACAGAATGTAAGAGTTATTGGTCAGGGAGGACCATAGTGAAACATAACAGGACAGCCAGACTCATAAATCTATATCATCTATAGAGGAATTCCTGAAGTTCATTCTCATCACAGAATATTAAAAGAGAGCAGATCCAAGTCAGTCTGCCCTTCCTAGCCATGGTTTCTGTACCTAGGATCCTAAACAATATGGACTGCAAATAGTCAAAAGATTCTGTCTGGACTGAGTATGTGCAAACTCCTTTCTTGTCACTCTGAAGAATGCAGTAGAAAACTTTCTTACATGGTAGTCATATTTTATTTACTCAGTGTTATAAGTAATTTGGAAGTGATTCAAAGTATGTATGAGGACTTGTGTAGGTCATACAAAAATGTTACCCAACACCCTAGGGATACGAAAGTATGAGTGTGTTTGTTCTCTCTAATTCCTATGGACTAGTACAATTGTCTGAGTTTGACTGAGTAACTGGGCCACATCTACAGCCAATGCCCCAAGCAAGAATGAAGAGTTCCTATTCTAGAGTCATGTCTTCACAATTTGGAGGTAGCTTTTTTCCTCCCTTAATGGAAGTGAAGTGAGAAGAGAAGGCATGAGCAGTTTGCTGGGCTCTGAAATCCCAACGAGGGGGAAAGAAGCAACTATCTCAGCAAATGCTTGTTAGCACAGCCCTTTAGAGCAGTTTCCCAAAGATTAGTCTGGATTCGTCATAAGCCTATCCCTGCAGCAAAGCCATTTGTACTTCTTGCCCATGGGAACAGCTGCTATTTCGTTACTGGATTGGAGAGACTCAGACCCTTTTGTCCTTCCCCCCTGGGCTCTGAAACCATCCCATGAGGGTATTGGAATCACAGCCAGATTTCCAGTATTTTACTTCAAGCCAATTTACTGTCCAAACCAGGTCTTTAAAACATGGCACTGGTGCTAACAGCGCTATTCATCTTATTTCTAGAAACATGACCCCACCTCTGGTTTACTGCAGCCCCTACCCATCCTAAAATAGACTTTCTGTCTCCACAAATGAGGAAAGGTCACTGTACCCACTCTGTGAAACTCTCCAGTTGTTCCTGGTTGGATTGTACATCTCTCCTGTGTCTCCATTGTTTTCTGGAAGTGCCCCAAACAGAAATTTGAATGAACCAGAAACTCAGTGTCTGAGAATGGTCCCCACACACAGTTGCCCAATTGCCCTCATTAACATGCCATCAGGGGCTGGTGGAGAGTCAAGGGCAACAGAGAGGGGGGGGGCTTCACAGGAAGGAGGCATGCTACAGTGAAGTGTTCCCCATGTGAAAATGTTACTGTTCAGAATCCTGGGATGAGTATACACTCTGTGTAATGAGCAGATTAGCTAGGTTTTTGAGTTGAATATTATGGGCATCAAAAGGTAATAATTACAGAGATAACCTCAAGCTAACGGGAACTTCATCTCCTCTCTCCTCCCCAAACTTAGAAATGCCAGGCTCGTTACATGAGGCTAAATCTTGCAGAAACACTCCAGCTGTCTGAGTCTGTGAGAGCCACCAGCATCTCCCTTTCCCCCATTTGCTTTCAAGAGTAACTCTAGAAGAACCTGCCTGGCCTTGGAGACCTCAGTTACCTTTAATACCTCCCTATTCTTCCTCACTCTGTTTAGGAGAGAGGGAGGGGGAGAGAGGAGAGAGAGGAAGGGAAAGGAGGAGAAGAGAGAACCTTTTACTTCCAATTGTAATATTAAGTCAAACTTCTAAAACTGTCAGTAATCTCAAAGAAGTGTCAAATGTCCTTTCCCAAAAACACTTGACAATATTTGTGTCTCTCAAGTGGGGAAGAAGAGTATATTTTTTGGAGACATCATACTACATTAGAAAACACTTTAAAATTAGGTTGGGCCTGTTCAAGTCTAGCTTGATTCAAATTTGAGCCCTTGAGCAAATCGAGTATTTGTTTGTCTGTGTCGACTATGAAGAGTGAGAAGAGAGATGTGAGAATTAACTGAGAAGTTGAGAAAGTGAAGTAACTGAAATGCATGCCACGTAATTTATAAGACATGCCATACTAGCCACAGGTTGACCACCTTTCTTTTCATCTTGTGTGGGAGATCATTGACTTTCTGCCATTTGGGACATCCCTGAATGACAGGTTTCATGTTACATTTTGTTCCTGGCATGTGTGTTGTTCTCCGGCACATGCCTTACTTATTAGATGAGCCAATACACAAGATAGGAAAAGAATGGCTTCGCTGGGTTTCATGTGTCCCAAATCTGATGCAATGGCCACTATGAAGCCCCTTACAGCCACATCTAGGCAACCCATAGGAAACCTGGGCACTGATAAAAGTTAATCTGGAGGTCACCAAGGCACACAAGGAAGTGAGCAACCACATAATCATAGTGTTTTTACAAATGGGAGCCATCTTAGATATCCTCTAGACCAATTATGAATCTTAATGTAACTACTGTGTTTTCCAGTGGGTCTTAGGAGACTCCTTGAAAGGGTCATTTGACCCCCAAAGCAGTTGAGAGCTACAGGTTGAGAACCTCTGATCTAGATCAAGCTTCATCACTGTGGGATTTACCTTACATGGGGCTCAGGCAAATGAATGCAGGGGTAGAGCAAGAATTGCTGGTCATGCACTGTTCAGCACCAGGACATGGTTTCTGAATGCACAGGGACCAAAAGTGCTTTAAAACCAAGTACGGAACGAGTCTGGA